CCCCAAAACCCCAAAACCCCAAAACCCCTCTCACCTAAATTTTTATAGACGATGAGATTAAGTAAATAAATTAATTTAATTTGAATAAATACAGACAAACCATAACTCTCCTTCTCTTTAAGTAATCAATGTTCGCAATAGCAGAATCAGAAGAAAACTACGAGTCACACTCTAATGGCAGTATGATAATAGAAAAAGTAATCAAAAATCATTAAACTGATCTATCTTAAATAGAGTGATAACCATCAATAAAAATTCTCGAAGACTTAAACGGACTTTAGCTAGATGAATTAGGGGATACTAAATCAATCTAACTGAAACTTCTTTCAGTATTTTATTCTTCACTAATTTTACAATAGAAAGCCCCCTAAAAATCCCTAGTATGGTATCAATCGGCAATTTTTACGCTCAGCAGGGCCGAATAACAATCGAACAAATCCCCCTCCACTTTAATCTATGGATAATTATATGATTTCGGTAAATTCCCAATAAATGTCTCCAAATCAAAATTCAGCTGGAGCCATGACACTTTCAAATTTCGATACTTCTTCTAAATCGAGACAGAGACTGTATAATGCTTTGAATAATTCAGCAAAAATTCGATAAAACCCCCAGCAATCATTGTAGCAAAGTACATCAAATCAGTTTAATTAACAGCAAGAGGGTGGAAATATTAGAAATTTCAGGGTGCGCGATTCTAAGAGATAAACCATGAATATCAGAAACAATTCATCAGAAAACAGTAGATATGATAGGGAATAGTTAGAATATAACCAGCTCTTTACTAAAATTGAAAATAATGAACTTGAAAAGTAGATTAAGCAACTAAAAACTAAGATATAGATATTATACTAAGAACTAAGTAAAAAAGATAAATTAATTGAACAGTTTATATCAAACTCTGTGCCAGATAAGCATATTCAAGACTCTTATGTTATAAATACATACAAGACTCAGATACTCGAGCTTCAAAAAAGACTTGACGAATCATATGAGGAAAAAGATTAATTGAAAAAGTCCATGCCTATCACAATGAACTAAGAACTTATGATTGAAATGGAAACCTATAAAGAAGAGTGTGTCAGATTGAGGAAAATATTAGATACCTAATTTACTAATAATGAGATGAAAGAATTTTTTGGTCAATCGAGTTGGGCAAATGTAGATCCCTACGAAAATGAATTGTAGTTAGAGTAGGAAAGATAAATGCTTGAATAGCAAAAAGAGGTTGAAACGATGAGGTAAATCATTTCAGAGTACGACTAAAACAATTAAGATTTGATTTCCAAGTTAAATGAGATGGCTATCTAAAATCATAAACTTTAGTAAGGCAAAAAAAAAGGTGGTGGAAATAAAAATGCTAAAATGCATAATTTAGAAGACTAGGAAATCTCAAACTTAAGGCGTAGACTTGGTGATTTAGAAAGAATTAATTTGGATTAAAGAGTCGAGATCTAGAAGTACTACCTCCCCAAAATAATCTTCGTCCTACAATCATTAGCTCTATAATAGAATCATGATATTGTTGTTATTGAAGAAATGGATGAGAGCTTATTGAGGTAAACACTGGAGCCATTCTTGCCCCTTGCTGATTTTATTATAGATGCTGAATTCATTGAAGTTCATAAGAATTAATTGAAATTTCTATCAAAAGACTCATTGAAATAACTGCAAAATGAAATTTAAACTTGCATTGAGCCCCATTTGCAAAACAGAGATCCCAATGATGATATGCTGGACATAAACTCCCTTGATCTCTAAAATTAATTCCCAGCTGTGCAAAACTTTTTGAGATATTTATGTTATCAATGCTATCAATCAGAATGCTTCCTATCACTAAGAATTCTTAATATCTTTTTCCAACAAAGTCAGTCAAACAACAATTAGGAAATGGAAGATGAAGACCAATAAGTAATCAAAATTAAAAAGGAACTATAGATAATTGATTTATCTGGAATAATTCCACTATTGCCAAGTGTTAGTGAGAATTCAGTTATTGATCAGGATACGCTTCTTAGATTGCTTAAATAAGAAGACTAGACTGAATGCATTGAGGAACTACTTAAGTTACTCGAAGTAAAGAGAAATACTCAGAAAGTTTACAACCTTTATGAATTTAAGCTTATACTAGAGGATCAATTGAATCGACCTGAATAAGAAAACTAAGAAAAAATAGTTCTAAACTTTGTGAAATCTTTGGCTTAAGAGAGCTTGAGATAATAACTGCAAATGTAGACTAAAAAAATAGTTATATAATTGGGAAATAAACAGAAGTCCATGGATTATATAGATTAGTTTTAATTCACTGAATGGATTTAGACTTTAATCTAAAATACTAGCATGCAGTTAGACACTGATACACTCAATATTCTCATTAAGGAGCTGAGACTTAGTGATAAGAGACCAGAAGTATTAATATTTAAGAAATTAGAGCAGTATATTAATTAATGAATAGCTTCGGTTAAACCTATGAACACTACTTAACTTAGAAATACCTTGTCTGAGTAGTTAATGATAAGCATATTCATAGGAATTACTTTGCTTTGATAAATAAATTCAGATTAAGCTTCCAAAGAGGATCACATTTCCAGAACTGATTGACAACTTAGTAATTTTCACTTCAACAGTCGATTCGGTGCTTAATAATTATCCTTTTTATTTATCCATAATTTCCTATAAATAAATAAAGTTATCAGTCTCAGTCATTGAATGAATCATTATTTCATATATCAGCTCATTTCACTTACGATTTTATTCTTTTTGTTATCAATATCGAAATCCTCATCTTGGTCATCACTCAGTATGTCTAAGGTAGCATTCTTAATCTCGTATTTAGAACTGTCAAGATTGTCTAATTAAACTATCACAGTCAGCATGTTATAAACTAAAAGAGTCATATGTCCTATTTATATGTCTTAAATTATTCCAACTAAGAAACAATTAAGTTAAGTCACTATGAAATACTTAGTTTTTGATCCACTTTAGGCTATGCATAGGTTACCTTATATCTGACAACATACTGAATCCAGGCAAAATCATCCATAATACGACCCTTTCCTCCATTTAAAATACACACATTTTAATATGACACTAATATGCCTTTAAGCTAATCATCCCACTTGATAAGTTTCTTATTCAATTCCTTAACTATAGAATGCTTGAAGTTCACCATGTCACTAGGATGCAGCATGATCTTATCCCTATCGTTATTTAGTTAAATAAAATTGATGATCTTACAAAACAACTGATTCCTTAAAGAGATTCTCCTGATCTGAAGACATTTTATCTATATATATGACTTGATTATTAAATAATTGGTAGTTCTAATTTTTATATCAAATTCTACAATATACTTTGTAGCGGGGTTTTGGGGTTTTGGGGTTTTGGGG